AAGAAAAATGGAATGCAGTGGAATAAATGTCAGCTGAATCACGAAACAATTTCCAAATGCAAAGAAAATTACCTGGTCATGGAAAACCCGATTCATCTGATAAGAAGATGAAGAAGATTTATTAGGATGCAGGAGCAGGAGGAGGAAGACGACTGGGAAAACGAAAGAAGTGACGAACACAGAGAGTGCAGAGTGAAAGGATGTGGGCTGGGCTGCTGCGGTGTGGGATTTTCTTAAAGGGGGACTAGTACGAATTTATGTTTTGTGGGCCGAGTGACTTGTTCAGCGGATTTCTCAAAAACCGTTTACAAACGCTATTTTAAACTTAAGTTTGATATATTAATATAGAAGCACTAGGAGTTATAGAAGCGTTTTCTGGAGAAATAGACTTTGAGTTTTTTTTTTTACTTTTTATAAAATTCTGGGATTTTTGATAGAATGTTTGTCTTATAAAACTACTTTAAGTAAAAACGATTATGAGTAAAAGTATGTTCTATATAAAATAATCTCAAATGAGCCATACGCATCGATTCTGAATATGTTTCTTTGTGGTCACCTATTGTGAGTACTTTTTTGTTGCGAACTTTATAGTCTTAGTTACTTGTTTCGAGATGTAAAAGCAGAACTTTATTACATCTTGAGATTACTTATGTAATCCCCTATTTCTATAACAAAAATGGAGTACTCGTGTTGGATTACTATTCTTGTTCACCTAATTAATGTTTTTTAATAGAGTTAGTCCAATTACTTAGAAGCACGTGTTCTTATTTATTCGATGTAAGATTCATATTCTCAACACGTATCGCGTGTAACGAATTTTCACGTGGACAACATAAATCTGGTGAAGTGGAGCACTTGTAGTGGTTGGGCTTCACACATGTGCCGGTATGGCCCGTCCCTTGCACCCTGTCGAGTGATGAGCTGTTACTTGTACACTGTACAAAAGGATATAGACATATAAATAACTGTCTCTTGCCGAGTCATCACTATTACATAACAACCCTATCTACCAATACTTAACAACTAAGGTAGATACTAATCGAGTGTATTGAGTACACTGTGATATGATGGTCCTCTATTATCCTTAACAGTATACGTACGTTACGCATAAAAGCAATCTTTGAAAACACTGATAAGTAAAAGGAATAAGAAATCTGAAGAAGAAGAAGGCACTTGGTTAGCTGATCCGTGGCAAGAAAATGATCAGCAAGGAAACTGCGTTTACTAATGAAAGCAAATAAAACAGAAAACCTACAATACGTGGCAGTCTTACCCCTTTATTGCAACTTGCAAAGGGAAATAAAAAAAGTGCAAATTCTCAACTTCTTAATTGTTGTAAATTAAGCATATCTATTAATCTTCAATGAACAAAGCAACTAAGCTTAATCACTACATAATAGCTGCATTTGGCGCTTGAAGCATAGCAATTAGCAGATAATGTTGTGAAGAAGTTCAGACCAGATTATTGTTGTTGAGGATTGGAAGCTGGGGAGGAGGAGGAGGACCAGCCGGAGGTGGTTGTTCGACAGGAGGATCGGGAGCAGGTACTCTCATGCCCGGCTGTTGGTTTGCAAGTGGTGATTTTGGACGCAAAGGAGGTGGTGACCGCCTTTCTCTCAGTCCCCTAACTATATTCAGATCATGGTGATCTGCATGCAACATTTCATTAAAAAACAAATCAAATTTATGTATTAAGAGTGAATACAGTAGACCATATCTTTTATATGTGTGCGTGTGTGTGTGTACCTGCTGCTGTGACCAAGCCTTGCTGCAGAGTGAACATGGTAGCTACGACAAGAAGAACTACAAGAACAAGAGAATGGAGGAACGAGTTAGAGTCACCCATTTGCTTCTCCTACAAATATTCTCTTGCTTCCTCTTTCCATGGTTTTAGATATTATATATGCAGTGTATGTGCGGTCAATTTTATCACTACTCACAAGTCACAAGTGTTCATTGATAAAAGCAAGTTGATTTTAAAATAAAACTGATTTTGATAAAATGACAAATTTTGCTTCCCAAACATTGACTAGCTAGTCAGTCTTGAGGAATCTCAGAATTTGGTCCTACATTTCTGCTCACAAGGTTAAATACAAGTGGGAAATTATATATTTACCTGTATACAAATGTACACAAGGACAAGAATTTAGAAAATATGTTTCTTTGAAAATCATCGGGCCAAATATATATGTATAATTAGTCACTAATTTGCAGAAAACTTACTGAAGAAAATCAAAGGATTTATTGGAGTGCTAATTAGAATTTCAGAATTATCATTTCTTAGGGTTTGGGGTGCCAAATTTTTAACAGGAACATAAATATCAAAATATGTAAGTAATATATGTAAAACATCATCAAATCCTTAATTTCCATAAATTTCATTTCTTGATATACACACGCACATATATTTTCAATTCTCGTAATATAACCAAACACAGAAAGATATAACCCAATACAAGAGCACTAATCCAAAGTAACGTACCCACAAATTAAAACTTGTCCTTAATTATTTTGATAAAGTAGAACTTTTAACGACTTCGGAGCTGAGAACTATGGAGCATTCGGAAGCTTCTTAAAAAAGTAGGAATTTCCATTGTTCAACTGCACAACATGTTCAGCAACGCTATGCATTACTCCCACATAAGCATCTCTATACCTTTTCAGAAGCACAATCGACGACATTATCGCTCGTTGCAGTTTTGGTAATGGTATCCCTCTCCTCGTTGTGTTCTTGAAGTTGAGATCACTGCTCTGTGTCTGTCCCAACACTACTGCAATCTTCTCATTTTCCTCTTCCTCGTCATCATCCGTTACGAAATTGTCTATTCTACTGTAAGGGCATCCTCTCGAACTAGACGAGGATCTCCTCCTTCGGTGGCTGTAGCACTCCATGCTAGCTTCCTCAAAGTCCGTCTCTCTATGCCGGAGGGTGTGAGAGATGGATTGGGATATAACGCAAGGGGAAGATAGATCTGTAAAACAAGTAAAATGGAGTTGAATGGCTCGTAAGTCGTAACTAAAAAAGTAGGTGTGATTGGATCAGAAATAGACCAAAATAATTAATTAAAAGATGAGTAAATATTAAGTTGTGTAATTCACATTCCATACAAAAAACACTTGGTGAAGAAACCAAAGTGGGTAGCAGTAGTCGTGCAGGAATTGTAAATGCCCATGATGTTAGGCAAAGTAAGTAATTCGACAAATTAAATTCAGCAGCTAGCCACAACGTGTGATGTGAGTTGGGTTTTCCAATTAATTGCTTTGAATTGCATGCATCCTTACCAATCAACATTGAGCTGTGTTTTGGAAGATTTGGTTTGATTATAGCCACAAGTAATAAATTGGTTTAGCAGTTATGGCAGTGTACTCGTCAATGGCACTTAAATTTGAATCTATTTCCTTTTAGCTTAGATGTTAATCAAAGTAAAATTTCCACTACTAATGTTATGCTGATATTTTTAAGGATAAAACCTCACACATGATTCTGTTATGCACATAAAATCAAAATTAATGATGCTTCGCCTTTGGTTGCTCGGATTTTTACCTTATCCTATATACCTTATTAAAGAAATTAAACATAATCTTTTCAAAAACAAAAAAAGCATTATATCTTGCAGTATTGTTCATTGTGTATCCAGAAAAATAAAATAAAAATTAAAAAGAACTCAATATTTTAAACCTCTCTCCCAAATTATAGAAGCACACTAGTAAATTTGAAATATTCATCATGCACTCCTCGCTGTTCTCCTTTCGCAATATCGCAAGGAAGATGGAGTCATGGAGATCGAGAAACTTTTTCAATCAGAATGAGTTATTTTCCATACACATATACAAAAGGATACAAATTGTTCTTCAGCTTGATTGTAACAACTTTATAAACAATTACTTTCAAGCTAAAAACTGCGAAGCATTAGTCTTCCGATACAAGTGAACATCACCATTATTCAACTGCACAACACGACCAGCAAAACAAAGCATCATTTCCACATAAGCATTTCTAAACTTTTTCAAGAGCGTTATCGATGATTTGACCTTCATTCGCAGCATCGGGGTCACTCGTACTTTCCCAAACTTAAGGCATTTCCCCATTGAAACCATCGCGTTTTGCTCATTAGTAACTGCATTTCTTAGTCTGCGGTAAAGCCTTCTCTTCTTGTACCTCTTTATGTTTCCGCAGCATGCGGTAAATGTCTGCATTTTTTTTTTTTCAGAGAGAGAGAGAGACAGAGAGAGAGCTAAATAGCAAGGCAATAGATAGTCATGTACATATGTATGGTATGTGATGAAGATAAAGATTAAATGCAGGTATTTATGTCACAGACAAAGAAGGTAAGGGGTAATGCAGGTATTTATGTCACAGACAAATAAGGTAAGGGGTTTAGATTATTGAAGAAATTTATGAGAGCACGCAGTGTAGCAACTGAAATTGTGCAAATGCAGCTAGACTTTGGTGTTGCCAGCAATCACCAATTAACATCCAACTGTTCCATTTAATATCACTTTTTTTTATTTGTTTTCTTTGACTCTATGATTTTTTTTTCCTTTTAATTTTTTTCTCATAGGCTCATAGTCAAGAACTTCACACCAACACATTTATTCACCAAAAGAAATAAGGACACAGATTTAAATGAAAAGAAAAACACATTGCAATATTTAGAACAAAAGCACCAAGACTTAGAGGATGTTTGGGATTGATTTTGAAAAGATTCAACGTGTTTTCTCTCTCCAGTAAAAGTGTTTCTTACTATGTTTAACATAAAAACTCAATATTTTTCTGAATCATAAAAATGTTTTTTTAGAGAAGCACTTGCTAAGTGTTTATTCAAAAAGCTCTTTCAATTGGCTTTTCAAGAAGCAACTAGATGCTTGATAAAAATTTCAATGTGTATCTAATAAAAATGCTTATCATATAAGTGCTTCTTACAAATCAATTCACAAACAACTCCTTAGAAAGTTCAGATTCTCAACTTTTGATGAAACTTGGAAAGCAAGGCATTTCATTGAATAACGATGATGTTAGGAACTTAGGAGCTTACACATACGATATGGAGTCATCGAATGAAGTACTGCATCACGTATACAAAATGTATAATATATACCTTCTATACAATTTCTTTTGACATACAAACTCAACTCAGTATCTTCTCCTTCTTCCAGTAACTGATGGACTGGCGAACTTGAATCTTATGGACTTGAGCCTGGACTCTCGATATCTGTTCTTCGCATACGAAGAGAGTTAACCCTCGTGGCTGGAGATAAGGACTCGCCAACATTCCTATCCGCATCCAGCATGAGGAAATACGCATGAGGTGCCCACCCTGCAAATTCAAAAATAAAAGACTAAATATGTAGACATGAAAATTAGGTCAGCATTCTACCAGTTGATGAAACATGAACATATTAACAGAAGATAGCAGACACACCATCCCGCTGGTTTGGGAGAGGGAAGGATTGCAAGTAACAAATCGAAGCTATGACAATTCCTGCGCTCAAACAAATCGAACGTCCCAAAAGATGGATTATCATCTCTTAACTTTCTACATTATGTTTTATTGTGGAAGGAACTGAAAATTGTATCATTGCATTTAGTAGCAAACCTATAAGACCTCCAGCAAAGACGTCCTGCCAATGATGCCAGTAGTCATCCACACGAGAGATTCCCACGAGAGCAGCACAGAGTAACGGAAGAAATACAATGCAGAGCTTTGCGGAATGGCCTCTACGGTCAAACACTTTGATCTTCCCCGATAAATACCATGCAAGAAAACCAAGACCTGCAAATGAAACTGCACAATTGACAATTGCAAACGAATTAGGCACTGTCTTTTCCAACGGCATAGCCTTAAAAATGCACAAGGCACAGAAAGAGAGATTGATGATATGATACCTGAAGTATGCCCGCTAGGAAAGCTTTTATGTCCTTCCTTTATAATCTTTTTCTCTCCAGTGCAGATAGCATTGTTAGTGTTTGGATCATATACCTGTGACGTGACTGACAAGCAGTTCAGCATAATGCAGGGACAAGCCCTTACGCTTACAATCATCGTTAGCGAAAGAAAAAGAAAATTGTCACCTACACCTATTCCATCAGGGAAGCACCGCCAGAAGAAGTTTGGACGCGGGCGGCCGACAGCATCCTTGATTGCATCCGTTATTACAAGAGTTATGAGAACAGAATAGAAAAGACCTATAAGTTGGAAAGTAATAATCAACCAACAGAAAGAAAAGGGGTGAGCGGAAATCAGTTCCAAAGAAAAATATAGTATACAGGAAGCCTAGAAGGACACAGGCAGTACCCAATATGGCATGGTGCAAATCATAAACATCCTTTCTGCAAATGTAGTACACGAGAAAGATGGCGAGAGGCAAGAGTACAGCATAAATCTAGACGCAGTAAGTGAAGATATAGTAAAATATTCTGTATTCTCTGTAAGGCAGAACGATATTAGATGGTGAGAAACTGATACATACTGGAACAGCCCAGAAAGGAATGGTGTCTTTCTGAAAAGGGTATTTGAGATCAGTCATCATTTCTTCGCCAACGAAACGATGAAAAGGCTCTATAAAATTCAAAGACAGATCAACCGCCGCAAGAAGTACAAGAATTAACCAGTCATACTTGTGCACTTTAGCCACTTTGACTCCATGAGATCTTAATGTATGAGAAATTATCTGCATCTCGGGCATCTTCTTTCCAACTGGAGTGTGAAACCAATTCGAAATGGTCTTTCAGAAAGCAGTGTATAGTTACACCAATTTGAATTGAAGAACAGGTACAATTGAAGAATCAAATGTCATTAGCTTCACCGTTTTCTTTCTCCCAAAGATACGTACCCTGAAAATGACACATGTGTTGAAGAATCAGATGAAATGTAGAATCCTGTAAGTTGTCGAATCCAATCAATCCTTGGCACCAAACGAGCACTAAGAATGCTAACAAGCAATGATTTTCGAGCTTGTTAGCGTGACAACCACCAATGACATATGAAATGCCAATCCATTTTTGGCAGAAATTTGATGCTTAATCTAGGGTTTCATGGAAATTATCTGATTACAATTCAAACTGCCAGTTAAAATTCTTATTAATCAAAGAACATGAAGCCTTCTTTTTCACAAACCCTAGTTTGTGTACACACACACACATATATATTAGAAAATTAAACAACCCAATTCTTGAAGACATGCATGAACCCTAGTTTTCATAAGACGTATCATATTTTCGTAATAAACATTGTCCTATATACATTGGACATAGAGAGATAGAGACAGATTACCGTTGATAAGAAGAAAAGCTCCCCAAGCCTCGGCTCCCTCGTCAATGGCGCTATTCAAACAGAAAGAAGGGCGAGAGAGGGGCCCCGTGGTGTGTGTGCCTTAGAAACTTTGAAACTAAAAGGGTATAGGTTAACCTAGGATTAATGGTCCAACACAGAATCCTAAAGGTAAGTTAAGTTAGCCCAATTGTGAGGTAAAACATGCACACACGCAAAAACATCATACAGAAATAGATGGGGAACATAACTAACTATGTTGTACTCTGGCAAATATAGAAAGTAAATTAGGCATCCTAATACTTTGTTGGATTGATAACTTCAGTCCTCATCCTTCTCCATTTTATTTCATTTGCTATAAATTTTATTTTCCTTTTTGCTGTTGTTGAATAATCTACAAATTATTCTTTAAAAATGCGTTAAGAAAATGTGATAAACGTATTGTTGAAGAAATTTTGTTTACAAATAAAAATTATAGCAAATGATATTAAATACTGGTATTTTAAATCATGGGACACTAATTCGAACTTAAATGCAAAATGAGATACCCAATCCTGATCAACTCTCTTAAGTCACATTTGAGATTCGAATTTTGTGACTTTTATTACAACGTGATTTTTTTGTTGGATATTACCACATGATTGTTCATATATATTGATTTGTCCAACAGTACATCTCTCTAGCAAAATTCCTTGTATATATAGGTTGGACATAGAGAATTTCTTTTAAATGAATATAATTTTATTAAATTTTTTCCTTGGGAAATGTTTGACATTAATCAAATTCCAAAACCAGCGAGTTTATCAAGTCCTCTATAGTTCTCACCTGCTTTGCTACACAACTCATGTCCAGCTTGTATAATCAATTATTTCAAGTACCATGAAAATGTCGACCAAAATAAGATATATTGTATATTTAGGAAAATTCAGCTCACATCCTTGTACTATTTGCTTAAAACATTATAATATAGAAGTTTTGACGGTAATTGCACGCTGGAAAGGCCTCTGATTTCTGTAATCCAACACATGGATGCTTAATAAAGACATTGGACAATGGACACACCACTGCAAACAATTTCTTCACAATAGCATGCAAAAGAGAAATATTACAATCTAAAGAAAAGGGCTACTATTACTAGTCAAAGTGAATCAAGTGACTTGTAACAAGTGAAAAAACTTTCATGCAACGATAATGTCATGTAATTGATATCTTGAGTTAATTATGTTAAGAGATGTCGATCTTTTCTTTGATTTTCTCTTTATTTCTTTTACATAACGTTATATAAGAAAATTAACATTCACAAACAATGCGTTATCGATTTGATACACCATCATTGTATCATCTTTGCTATAAGCTTCTCTCATATGATCCGTACATATATTCATACATTGAGATTTAATATTGTCCGCACTCCACACCACATTGTTCTCCTATATTTGCTCTCTCGTGTTCTGATATTACGATACAACCTTCTCGTATCTGAAGGAGAAGCAAAAGGGGCAAATCATTTTAAAGCGAAAGAAAGGGGTTTTGCTTTCATTAAGTCCAATTATAAATCCATATTCTCATATGCGAGCGATTTGACAAAAATACAATTCGATACATCAAATGCCACGATCCAAATTACTTGTATTCCGATACTTTGTTGCCAAACCGTGTCTCTAAAATCCAACTTAGAATAAATCATGCACAAGTTCCGATGAATGTGCATGTGCTTGGTCCGTTTCTCTGTAAAGTTCATGTGCTGCAGTGCATGGGCTACACGTTGAAATTTCAACTCTCTCCACGCTCGCAAAGCAGCAAATATATATATATTTTTTTTGTCAAATTATAGATTTTATCAGATAGTAGATTAATTAGCAATAGGATTTGAATACATGCCGTCATGCAAAGGTTTAACATCTTTTTACTTCTGTGGTAAAGGATTACTTACTAGCAGCAAATATATATCATTTTCTTGTTTTTTATTCAGATTTGACCTGATTTAATTTGAGTTTGACCAAACTAGACCTTCATTTGCTTACTTAAACTTTGATTAACTTTTGATTTGTTATCTACTAAATTTACTAATTACTTGTATTGCAGAGATAAAACCCATCTGCTTAGTTTGATCCCATTGTTGATAAATAATTATGGGCTCTTCTTTTGTCTTTGAGATCTCTTTCGTTAGAAGCAAAACATAGTGGACAAATCAGCCCAAGGGAGGTGACCTGTCATCTGTTCATTGTTCGATGCATATTAATCAAACTTGAAAGTGCAAGCAATTCATTGAATTAACACTCAAAGGTCATTAAGCGAGGTGAGTTAGATCAATTTGAAAGAATAGCGTCTTCGTCATTTTACATTTAAAAAACAAAAAAATTTGTACGTTAGTAGTTTAGATCAGTTTATTATAATAGTGTACTTGTCAAAATTTAAATTTCTCTTTCGATAAATTAGATTCATTTTCTTTTTTATTTGTTTAAAGATTGAGAATAATGTGTATATGTGTTGCATTCGAGTTCAAATCTTCCTCTCACAAATTAATCATTCATGCTAATTTATCAAAATAATGTGTTCGTGATCATGTCTCCCTCCTCTTATGTCAGAGTATAATATCCTCTCCTGAAGAAACTCAAAGGTGAAATAGACAAATACATAACATACCTCGAGAAGCGCGAAGACTCACCACCTTCCATTTCCCACAGCCACCACCAAATGGATCCACCGCCACTCCCGCCTCTCCCCACCACAATCACCACCACCTCAATTCCGGCAGCCACCAGCATGCAACTCAACTACCCCGACTCCGTCGACTCCTCCCCACGCTCCCGCAATGCTGACACCTGGGACGACCCCCTCCCTCAAGTCCCCGGCGCCAAGCTCCGTCTCATGTGCAGCTACGGAGGCCACATCATTCCCCGCCCGCACGACAAGTCCCTCTGCTACGTCGGTGGAGAAACCCGCATGTTCGTCGCCGAGCGTCACTCCTCTCTTGCTGACCTCTGCTCCCGCCTCTCCCGAACCCTCCTCAACGGCCGCCCCTTCTCCCTCAAGTACCAGCTCCCCACCGAAGATCTCGACTCCCTCATCTCCGTTACCACCGACGAAGATCTCGACAACATGTTCGAAGAATACGACCGCACCTCCTCCGCCTCCCCCCTCAAGCCTTCCCGCCTCCGATTGTTTCTCTTCTTCGCGAAGCCGGAAACCGCCGCCACGATGGGTGCTCTGCTCGACGACGCAAAGTCCGAGTCTTGGTTCGTCGACGCGCTGAACGGGTCGGGTTTTCCGAGGAACCTGTCGGATTCCGCCACTATGGATTACTTGCTGGCGGGGAGTGAGAATTCTTGCAATGATTTGGAGGCGCAAGGCGACTTCTTCGGAGGCAACAACAAACAGGACAACAACAATGGTTTGATGAAAAATGTTAATAATGTGGTCGGACATGATGTTCATTCGATCAATCAAGAGTCCACCTTTGCCGAGGACAGTACTTCCTCTTTCGGGTTGTCTTCTTCATCGACTTGCTTGTCGAATTTGCCTCCGATTCGGGTTCGAATGGACGAAACTGGTGCTAGGTTGATGCAGGGTGGTCAGAGGACTGTTGGGATCGAGGAGCAGTTTGCTCAGATGAGTACTAGTTATGCTGCTGTTGTTGCTGCTCCGCCGCCAATGGCGTCGAATTCGGGTGCATCTGCCGCCACCTGGTGCTCAGATGATGAATGTTTCTGGCGTTCCTGGAGAAAATATGAACAGGGTAGATGATGAGAGATCATCAGATCAGAGTATACCGGTCGGATTTCGTAAGCCTCCTCTGCCATTGCCGGTGCAGCCTCTACAAGTTAATAAGGCTGGCGGCGGCGGAGGAGGTTATAGTTTGCCTTCACCGGATTCAGTTGCAAGGTATGTGCTCTCTCTGTGTGTCAAATATTTGCTTTCCGTAAAGATGATAATTTTGCAAATGTGGGTTAGGCCTGTGTGCCCGCGCTTTTCAGCTGGCTTTGAATTCTTCGTGTATATTAGAGTAGTTTAGAATATCGTTTATCAAAAAAATTGATGATAGTTTCGATTTCAAAGTAATTGCCATGAGTATGAACTATGAAGAGATGTGCCTCTTTATATTTAGGTTTAGAGCTCGATGAGTGATTTTATTTTATACAAGCGATATTGGGAAGAGGGAAATCGAACTAGGGAACTCAGGGAAATCGGGATAACCGAGCTACAAGCGGCTTGCAGTTTTCTAATTTTTGCTTCTAGAGTTTGGAGATAATAGTTTGTGTAAATTGGGTTATACTGTTTGTCCACATTGTCCAGTGATAGTAGCATTGCATCCGCAAATTCTGTCTCCAAACCAATGTACTATCAAGAGCAGATTCAAGCTGCAAACAGGGACAACATCAGAGGTCCTGCTAGCCCGAATACACCCAGTGATGCTTCCGATACGGGATCTCAAAACCAAGTTCAGCAAGTTCAGGATTCCGGGTACGCTATTCCTCAACAATCAGATCAGCATCAGCAGCAGCAACAACAACAACAACTACAGCAGCAGCAGCAACAACAAGTACAACAGCAGCAGCAACAACAGCTACAACAGCAGCAGCAGCAACAACTACAACAGCAGCAGCAGCAGCAACAACAACAACAATATGTCCATGCCAGCACACATTACATGCACCATCCTGCCGGAGGCCAAGTGCCAATGCAATCTTACTACACAATGTATGCACCGCCGTCACAGCAACAACCTCATCTCCAAATCGATCACCAGCAGTATCCAGTCTATTTGATGCCTGTTGCGCAGTCACAACAATCGTATAACATCCCTTTGCAACCTAACATGTCTGACACAACTGTGGTTGCCTCAAGCCGCTTAACATCCGCCAATCCTGGCTCTGCCGTTTACAAGGACAGTAATATCCCACCTGTTTATCCCACAAAGGCAGCTTCGCCTGAAATGTCTGCAAGTGTTTACAAAACGGCTGTGCCACAAACTCCAACATTAGTCCAAGTTCCTTCTAACCAATACCAGCAGCAATACCTGGGGTTCTCTCAAATGCATCACCGTCCTTCTCAGTCCGTTGCCATGCCTCCGTCTGCAACCAATAACTACGCTTACGAATACGCCAATCCTCAACATGAACAAGTGTTCTACACACAGCATCAGGCCGCCCCATTGTCTCCTCAATACCAGTCTATGACTCCTGCAGCAGCGGCCGCAGCAGTGGCACTGTCAGAAGATTCGAAACAGCAGCTACCGGCATACTCAGCAGATCAGAACCACACAACCATAAGTCATTAGGCATGAATTACCTTAATTTCATATTTGAGTTGCTCTTCTTTCCTTTAATTGATGGCTATATTATCATAGACTTTGCTCATATGCATAGAATATGATATAATAAAGGGAGTATATTTTCTTGCTCATATGCATAGAATATGATATAATAAAGGGAATATATTTTCTTCTTCTGTCTTAGTTTTATGGGTTATATATTATAACTGCTGCCCTATGTTGTATGAATTCATGTCCGTGACTACTTGTAAACGGGGCTTCTCTCCTCAAATGGGACGGACTTACATACACCCCTCGAACACAACTGTGACGTCTCAGGTCAAGAATACATCATAGCATTGTATCATTAGCACGAAACAGTCGGGCTAGCATGGCAATTGAAGGACTTACATACACCCTTCATACGCTAATGCAGCGCCGCACATCAATAATACAATATCATGCTAATGCAGCGCCGCACATCAATAATACAATATCATGTCATTGTGTATCGTTAATATGAACCGCTTGAAATGTATTTAAGTTCCTCTCCAGACAATTGGCAAAGAAGATGATTACTTTGGGGCTTCATTTTAATTCAACTAAATAGACAGCTATTAATGTATGCAGAACATGTAGATATATATAAAGTCACATGGTCCCCGGCATGGGCGCCGCGCATGCATACATGTACAGGACTGACGCATGCAAGTTGGTGGCGTTGGTATATTATATAAAGAGCATAAAACTTGAAATATTATATAGGGGCATCTATTAACTGCACTAAGATTCAGATTCTTGACCTTTTCTACTATATTTTCTGAAAAGTCAGATGCAGTGCTAGCTCAGACAATGTCCATATAGTTTAGCACTGATCTTACTGAAGTTAAAGTACTATTTCAGTAGTGTAAAGTATCTGAAATGACTAGGTTTTACTTTGATTATGTAAGGATTTTTAGTTAAATTGGTCTTTAGTATTAGTATAAATCATCATTTTAGTTATTGAGCTTTAAAATCGATAGAATTGATCTTTGATTTTATCCACCGTCAATCATTTTGATCATTCCGTGAAAAATCTTCGTTAAATAAGGACAAAATGACAAAAATACCCTCAAAATTTTGTCAAATCATTTGGGTGCTTTGTTTATTAAATTGAGGAATTTTTGTCATTTTGGTCCTTATTTAAAATAGATTTTTTTTCACTGAATGATCAAAATAATTGACAATAGTCAGGGATCACTTCTATCGATTTTAAATCTCAAGGAGTACAGTGAAAAGTTAAGCCAATCTCAAAGATCATTTTGACTAAAATTTCATAACGTTAAGTACTATGTAAATATAAAAAAATCCTTGTCATCTTGGATACTCTTTCAATAATGTAAGTTTTACTATTTTAATAGTGTAAAGTATCCGAAGTTCAGTACTATGTAAATATAAAAAAACCCTTGTCATCTTGGATACTCTTTCAATAATGTAAGTTTTACTATTTTAATAGTGTAAAGTATCCGAAATTGCTAAACTTTTGATCGTTTCCTCCGAACCAGTACATTACCGCTTTAAGTGCAGGGGGAGTGCAAACCCCTGCACTCAAAGTGCACAAACTACCGCTTCAAGCACAAACACAATTTTATTGTTCTACAAGTCTTTGCACTTATCAGTGCTGTGAAGCACCAAAGGAAAATCATTAGCTAGAGCCACGATCATGACATTATGTAAGGTCACTATTTAATATTGCGGAAAGGTGACGACCTCAATCCATTTTTTGTTTTTAAGTCTGTTAAGCTCACCGCAGTGTTTTATTTCTCCATCCACTTTTAAATGATAATTTTATTGACAAATTTATCCTAATATAAAATGATCTTAAAAGACCTAAAGACCAACTAATCTTGTCTTATCACATAATTATTAAATATGTTGACAAAACCTAAATCGCAAGCTGGAGTAGGAGAGGGAGTGTTTGTGTACTTTGTTATTAAATGTGATGGCGATTAAGCTGGCTTAATTGGATGCCAAGATTTAAACTTGATCAGGAGGCAGTGATGGACTTAGAACTTCGTGTCGTTATTCATCCATCCAGATGTTTTGAGAATGCAGAAACATCTTAGGGGCAAGAGTTGCCAATTGCTTAATTTGTTTATTGTAGATACCTCTTGTGTGGTTCTTGGGCTGGAAAGATTTTCTGCTTGGTGCCGTGGCTGAGGATTTGGGGTGTTGGTTGTTACAATTCTGGGATTTTTTTGGGGCGGGCGCTGATGCCTGCTGGTGGTATTTGGAGTTCTTGGCAATGATGATTTTTTTTTTTTTTAATTATAATAATTTTTCAATGCAAGGAAAATTTGAAGAAGAAATATGTAGGGTTATTTTGGAAACAATGGTAGGTGAGAAAAGAGGTATGTTTTTTTTCAACTTTTTATGGTGACTATAAATATAAAGTGAATGGGAAAATAAGATATTGGGGTGAGTATAACACCATTTTTTTTTTTTCATTTTGCACGTTTTGTGGATGGTCACATGAGTCATGTAATGAACATGGGCTTTTATTCTATATGGTTCCAATTCAATAAAACTTATATGTACTTTAGAACATCACAACTAGCACTTGGTATTCTAATGAGATATAAGGTCATCTCCTACCGAAGGTTGGCCAGAGAGCTCATTTTAGCCCTTTGGTCCTTCACGAAATTAATATTTTAATGAATAGTACAGGGCCATATTTGCCTTCATCTCCAACCAAGGGCCAAAGGGTCATATGGCTCGTTTTAGCCCTGTCATAAAAAACAATCTCCAAACGAGGGTCATAGGGCCAAACATAATTTATTATTTAAAAACTACAACTAAAATTCAAATCGAATGGCTAAGTGACGTCAGATAGCCGTTGATTTGAATTTTTTTTTTTTTTTTTTGCTATAAATAGGGTGGATATTAGGCTATAATTCACACAACTTTGAATTCAATCTATTTCAATTCAATCTCTTTCAATTCAAGTTTGCTATGAATTCCAACTTTGGATCCTCTTCAGATTCCAACTGAGGGTCTTCATCCAATTCCAAATTGGAAGAATAATGGGCTTAAATGAAACGAGAAGATGAGGAGTCTGATGAAGAAGTTCAAGTAAGGCGCAACAAACAAAACAGAGCAGCAACCATGGCTGCGGCCATGGTGTGTCAGCCAACTGAGTAACAACCTTAATAGGGTAGCTCTGTTGCTGTTCGCTCTTACAAACCACGAACAGAGCAATGACGCATGCCAATCTGATGAACAACTACTTCAACCCCAACTCAGTGTACACAGAAGAGGATTTCAAACGTAGCTTCCGGATGGGGCGTCATGTCTTCGAGCGTTTACTTCGTGATGTCCAGCAGGTCAATCCATACTTTCGACATAAACAAGACAAAGCAGACCGCCCTGGTTTCTCACCTCATTAGAAGGTTACTGTTGAACTCCGAATGATGGCCTATGGCTCCCCAGCTGATTCGATGGATGAAACCCATGGTATGTCTAAGTTTGCATGCCTTGATACTCTTGAACAATTATGTGACATAATTGTTCAGATTTACAAAGACGAGTACCTTCGCGAGCCAAATCAAGAAGATCTAAATCGGCTCCTTCACAAAGTTGAATACCTTGGGTTTCCGGGCATGATAGGGTCATTAGATTGCATACATTGGGATTGGAAGACCTGTCCCACCGAATGGCAAAGAGGCTTCTGCGAAAGGTCGAGAAAGCCAATTGTTGTGTTAGAGGCGATTACCTCATATGACACATGAATCTGACATGCTTTCTTTGGAGTCCCTAGATCCCAAAATGACATTACAGTTCTTGGGCGTTCACCCTTCTTTAATCGCCTGATGGAAGATAAAACACCTCAACTTGACTACTACATCAACGATCGTTAATACAATATGGGGTATTACTTGGCAGATGACATCCACGCAACGTGGGCGACACTTGTCCAAGCAATTCCAAACCCTAGGAATGACGCGGAAAAGTTGTTTACCTTACACCAAGAGGCATATCGGAAAGATGTTGAGAGAGCTTTCAGTATTCTACAAGTATGGTGAAAGATCATCAGCAAACCGGCAAGAGGGTGGAGTCGAGAAAATTTGGACTGCATCATGATGTTTTGCATTATATTACACAATATGATAGTGGAGGATGAGCGAGATGGATATATTGATGGAGAGTCCGATGATGACCAAGAAGATCCAAATAGGTCAAGAATGGCTCATGCAAAAATATATGATGAGCCTAATTTGCCTTTCAATTCAAGAACTGATAGTATCTCTATAAATGAGTAGATGGGCTATAGAATGATACGTTCCCGTGCCACAAAAAAATACCTACAACAGGATCTTGTTGCACATCTTTGGGCCAAAAATAGCATGGAGTAGGCGTTTAAGTTTTGTGTTGTATAATTTTTATGTTGGTTAATGTTATTTAATGTTGTTTCATGTTACTTAATTTAATTTAATGTTGTATAATGAATTAGGAAGTTATAGGAAAAAAAATAGAATTTAAAAAATATATGAAACAAGTTTTGTAAAATAGAAGTTATAGGAAAAAAATATAATTTAGAACAAATATAAAACAAATTTTGTAAAATATAAGTTATAGGAAGTTATAGAAAAAAAGATAGAAGTTATAGGAAAAAAATTGTGTAAAATAAAAAATAACGGCTAGTTGACGTCAACTAGCCGTTGCATTTGAAATTTGGTCTATAATTCCTATCGGATATAACCGACAGGAATATATTTATATAATATGTTCCTGTCGGTTATATCTGACAGGAATGCTAGAATTTCTGGCCCAGCCTGGGGCTAGCTGGCTAGCTGGATTGGGTCAGCCGGTTGGCCCTTTGGCCATTTCAGATTCTATGGGGCCCATAAGCTCTCTAGTCTAACCCTTGGTTGGAGACGATTTTTGAACTATTTTTTATTCTCTAATTCTCTGGACCTTTCGGTTGGAGATGGCCTAAGAAAGGTACAGTGAGTCTAAATTTAAAATATTGAGTCCGATTCAGGTTACGTCTCTTCTTTACAAAAAAAAATCTCAACACTTTTACGAGAAAGGGGAAATTTTCTACAAATTTTCTGGGGAGAATGGTGGGTGTCTGTTCAAAAGCTTAAAGACAAATAAAGGTCGGTGGCTGGCTTGTTTTCACTCGAGCTCATGATGAGCAGCTCTAATTTCAAACGGTCGCCCCCCACATTTGCTTTGAATACTGCGATCCCAGAGGACCAAATACCCACACAACTCTGAACCTCTCTGCAACTCCTCCTTCACCAATGCGTTCCCCAAACCTCCAAAGACCTCACCTTTAATGGCCGCGGCCACCGCCTTCCGCCACCTCTCTCTCCTTCCCAAGCTCCCAACTTTCCCACTCCCCACCACTTCCTTAACAAAACCCAGGTTGCTAAACTCTCTCTTTCTCTCTCTCTCTCTCTCTCTCTCTCTCTCTCTCTCTCTTACACTAACTAACAACTCTGTTTTTCCATTGCAGGACCTTGAAGCTGAAGATCACCTTTTGCCTCACCGTAAAGCAATCAAATGACCAGGGTCTCGCAACCCAAAAGGCCGCCGTCGACAACCTCCGCGTTGTCTTCGCCGCAGGCGGCACCGCGGGCCACATATACCCGGCCGTCGCCATAGCCGATGAGCTCCAACTCACAAATCCCTCCACCAAAATCCTATTTTTAGGCGCACCCAACAGCATGGAAAGCACCGCAGTACCCTCCGCCTGCTACGACTTCGACACCGTGCCTACCGCCATATTGCACCGCCCAATATTCTCCCCCCAGAACCTCCTCCTCCCCTATAATTTGATCAGGTCCGTCGTCCACAGCTACTCAAAGTTGCGCGAATTCGACCCCCATATCGTCATCAGCACCGGCGGGTACGTCTCTTTCTCTACAGGCTTGGCGGCGAAGCTGATTGGCGCCAAGCTTGTGATCCAAGAACAGAACCGCGTTCCGGGAATCGCCAATTGGGTTCTCTCATTTTTTGCAGATATTGTGTTTGTAGTTTTCAATTGCACCATTGATAGCTTCCCTACTGGTAGGACTAAGTGTGTGGTTTGTGGGAATCCGGTGAGACTGTCTTTGAAGAAGCAAGTGCCTAAAGCCGCGGCCAGGGGGCGGTTTTTCCCCAAGGGCGGCGGAGTTGAGGAGTTGGAGAAGGCTAGGGTTCTTTTGGTTCTTGGCGGGTCTTTGGGGGCAAATGCTATTAACATTGCTCTGCTGAATTTGTATTATCAGATGCTGCTGGAGAATGAGGACTTGTTTATCATATGGCAAACAGGAGTGGAGGCTTACAATGAGATGGAGAGCCTTGTGAAGAATCATCGCCGTTTGCTTTTGACTCCGTAAGTGCTTCTGCTATGCTTAAAAGTGGAAACTTGTAATGGCAGATTCTGTATTTCAAAAGATTGGGAAAGAATTTCCTACCAGGGTTTCGTAACGAACTAAGATAATGTTATTGCTAAGATTGCTTACTTTATGTGACATTCATATTTAAGAATCCTGCTAATTACTTTCTCTTCATCCCGAGAGGGTTGAACTTCGAGAGTGGTAGTGGACTTAGTTTATCTTCCACCTTTGGTCGTGATGTATGTCTCCGTATTTTTGTTGAAAACTTGAATCTGATGTATCTCTGAATAATGAAGGTTCCTGCATTCGATGGAATTGGCATATGCAGCGGCAGACCTTATTGTTTCTAGAGCTGGTGCAATGACTTGCTATGAGATTTTGGTAACTGGGAAGCCTTCCATTCTGGTACTTTTTTAAGTTCTCTAATAAAACATTGGCGTCTGATGTCCCTTATTGCTGGATTGTCTGACCTTCATCATATAAGATCAAATTATCACATTAATTTTTCCTTCTTATCAGTTTTGATCATGTTCTTAATATCCATAATTACGTCAATTGTATTGCTTAAGGGGAAAATTTGATAATTGCTTTTTGGATTTGTAGATACCATCACCGAATGTTGCAGAAGGTCATCAATTCAAAAATGCTTCTTTAATGGCAGACTTAGCTGGTACAAGGGTTATAACAGAAGATGAACTTGATTCAACGACTCTTGGAAGTACAATTGAGGAGATATTAGGTATGTTTATTTTCTCACCTAGTGTAATAGTTTGTTTTGGTGTGGGAATCAGGGAATAAGTATCGTTTTCATTGGTTGTGCTGATAGCAACGACAACTTAGAGTCCGTGGAAATAATTAGGATCCCTCACATGTAGACATGTTTTTGAAACACTTACTTACAGTAAAATGGTAATGGCCTTGTGGGATGTTTCATAGTATATAAAATCTTGTTACGCACCTCCGGTTTGGGTATTTCTTTTGTAATGGGAGATGAAGTTATTTGAACTGTGTATGTATTTCACCAATTGTAATGAAAGATATCCGTATTTACCATTATTTCTTTTTTACAGGGGATGAGAGTAAAATGGCAGAGTTGTCTAAGAGGGCTCTGAAAGCTGCAAACTCGAATGCATCTGTAGAGATTGTACAGCATGTTCTTTCTCTAGTCAACTTGTCAACAACAAAGGAGAAGTAGGTAAGAACTTGCAAGCTGGTTCCTCCGTTTCAAATTATTACAGTCGACGAAAAATGAGTTAGTTTGTTATATACGCGGAAGCTTTGATTGTTTCGTATATAGAACTCGAGGCCGTTAAATTGTCGACGAATGCAGTAAGTAGGCTAAGTTCCTAGCGTTTGTTTTCACCTTCAGCTTTAGCTTTACCTAAATGATTTGCCAAGTTGTTCCTTACATTGTTAGGCACTCCATTTTCAGTGCCAAGTTGTTCCTTACATTGTTAGGCACTCCATTTTCATGTCTGATTAGAAAAAGAGTAATCTAGCGGAGTGCCTTCTCTCTCCATAATTTTAATAAAGCAAATTTTGTATTTGTAATCATTTTTCATTTTAATAAACCCTTATTTTTTTTTCCTATATTTCAAGAGCGGGAACTACAAGAATTTATATCTGAGCTCGTTACGAGCATTCACCCTTGCACTTAGGTCTCGAGTTTGATTTCTCTCTCCTCCAATATCGCATGTGTCGAAAAAAGAGAGGGAATCGGCAACTACTACAATAACATGCAAATGAAAGTCAACACCCACCCAATTAGGAGCATTTTGATCATTTCTCACTTTTGTAATTAAAATATCTTAAAATTAGAAACTGGTCGTAACATGCACATAATGTCTTGAAATTGACATTTTACAGTTTTTCTTGGACAAAATAATTCTCCAACGAAAGAATATAAATTTTTCCACATTCGCCAAAAGGTCTGGCAAAATGTCAACTTGTAAATGAGTTTTTCACATCTCAAATTTTTCTCTCTATTGAAGAAGCTGGCACAACCAACAAATGCTTTTCAATAGTTAGAAGCACTTTTAGTTATGAAAAAGCACTTCAACTCATCCATAGACAATCTAAACAGGCCGTTAAACTAATATTGGACTAATGAAATACTTAGCACATTGCTAAGAAGAAGAAAGCACGAACTTCCCCCTCAAACATGAAAGGAAGCTTCCCATTCTTATTGTACATAACCAATGCCCAGATTATCTTTCTGGGAAATGCTTTACTCCGTCAAATATTCCGTTCGACCCGACCCGACAAATCGGATAAACAGAAGTGTTCACTCAACAGCAACCATCATTTGAAAACTCAAGCAATCGATGAAGCCATATTAGGCAGGAAAAGCCACATTAACAGAGTGTAATTATATTTTGAGATTGTAATGACCACTGTTCAATTTCATAACACTGAAACTCCAAATTCAAACCAAAGAATGAATACTTGCCCGTGTATTGAAGGAGACGAAATCTATACACGACGGGAATAACAGCGACCAAAAAACGCCACCACCGAACGGGATACGGAGAGTTCACCGGCCCTAGCATCTAGATAATGCTTCGACCTTGCAAAATGGGCAAGTATTCTTCTGTGCAAGCCACTGTTTTATACATTGTAAGTGGAAGTTGTGTCCGCAGTGCAGCTTGCCCATCTCGTCATCTGCTTCATACTCCTCCTATACAAGCATCGAGTAATTACGGGTTAAGAAAATGAAAAAACCGAAAAGAGGATATAAAGATTTCTCAGAAATAATCGCTAGGGTGTTCCAAACTCACCTGACAAATGATGCATTTGCTATCTCCTTTCCCAGATGAATGTGATGACGCGTCACTTGACATTGGAAGCTTAGTCTTCCGAAGACAGCGGTTAATTTCATCTTCTGTTAATCCAGTACTCACGTAACCAATTCTCTCACCCAACTCAAGCAGTTGCTGTTATCCGCAAAAAATGAAATGAAAAATTTGTGAAAATGTAGATACGGAAATGCCAACGTTACCAAATTTACGTAAACAAAAACCCAATCAAGTTTCGAGAACAAAGACACAGATTTAGTTTGCGAAAGGTAACCTCATATGACATGCTATCAACATCGAGTCTCCAGTCGCGAAATCTATCAAGTCTTCCACCCATCATAAGACTACTTTGAAACAGCATAATCTGCGATCACCAAACCGTGAAACATATCGAATGTTAATCTGTTCTTTATGAAAATTCCCTAGTAAGACTAATAAAAATCACGATACGCAGTAAAACTACATCTTTGAATCGAATATGATGCCGCCATCAAAGCTGCAAGTTGATTACATTGCTTGCCAAACCAAATTTTAGCACCAAACCAGGTGAGACATATTGAACAAAAGAAGAGTAAAGCAACAGCACATAAAAAAAAATCACCTCTGCAAGGTCTTCAGGGGATGGATGCCGGACATGCCGAAAACACCTACTTCCAAACACCTCCGTTTCACGGCGGCTCGAGACAAAATCCGGTTCGGAATCCAGAAACGAGAGGGTTTCCGGGCTCACGTTTCGCCTTGCTGAACAAGGACGCTGCCAACAAGATTAATCAACCAAACAAATTAGAGCTGAACCAAGAATGAACACATCATACAAGCAGAAAATTAAGTTGGTATTAACTTCAGTATTTAGAGAAAAACAAAGAAAAGTCCTACCCTAATACGAAAGCTGAGAAGATTAACACAATCTATTCATAATTATATATCCCGTTTAGTGTGGGATTATAAACTGGGCCGGATCCTAAACTATGCAAACTAATACGTGCACTTATTAGGAGAAAATCAAAAGGTGTCAAATTGTAAATTGAAGGCAACTCTTAAGTGCCCAAGAAAAATGAGAAAACCAAACAGATCAAAAGGTCCTAGCTTAGCCAAAAAATTGAGGAAAATTAATGAGATAATAAACCTGTGAAGCTCAAAATTTACAGAAAATCAGCTTTAAAGTCAAGTTAGTTGACTAAGGCAGTATGTCCGTTCCTTCAGACCCAATAGAATCCCCCTCCCTCTCTATCCCGTGAGTAAGTTAGAGCAGTTTAAAATATCGACTAGTAACAAAATACCCAAGTTCAAATCCCCTCACAGTTTTGATTAGATCACAATACAGCTCTAATTAAAAAATTAAAAATGGAAAAAACTAGCAATCCCAATTCATGAAAGAGAGATTTCGATGTGTCTGGAACACAACTCGGTAGGTTAAATATAATAATATAATCAATTGAAAAATTAAAAAAAATACATTTAACCAATCGTATTATGACACTTAATTCACCAGACTATACGTCACGTGAACATAGAAATGGATTAGGATTCTCTCGCTCCTTTCTCTATCTCCTTCTACCTCTTTTTCTCACATTCGCTATTTTACTTTTCTATAAAAAATTAATATAAAATACTTACGTGTTTTAATCGCGAACGGAACGAAATGAAAAAGAAAAATCTACTCCCATAGAAATTATAAATTAAAAGCATTAAATGACCGCATTAACAGCAAAAGTAAAAACTTTTTTGTTTTTACCTCCCTGTGGCTGCTCATCTTATTATTGTCCGCATCAATCTTGCCCCTGCCGGAGACATTCCTCCTCGCCACCACGCAATCCACCGAGCCGGCAGTTTCCGCCGAGAACCCAATTCCGGGGCCGCACCAAACATCCTGAAAATCCATACGAGTTGCAGAATTTATACCGAAGGTGGGCCCACCATCACCGACATCCCTGTATTCATTCTTCTCATTGCTTGCGCTGCCCTTGGCGGCGGCGCTCTTCTTCTGCTTTTTCTTCTTCACCTTCTTTCCCTTCCAATCGGCGGAGTTCCGAATCACCTCCGGCACCGAGACTTGCTGCGAGGCGGCTGCGGCGCAGCCCAGGCCTCGGAACGTCGACGAGGGAAAGTTTGTCTTTTTCTTGATCGTAAGGCTTGAAGGTAAGGCTTCGTTGTTGTTGGTGGTTGTGGTGGTGGTGAAGCTGGAGAGGAGGAGGGAGGAGATGGTGGGTTTACAGCGGGTGGATTGGAGGAGGGAGGTGGCTGGATCCGTTTCTGAAATGGGTTGGATGAATTGGGTTCTGGGTCTTCTCCATTTCATGTGCTCTGCTCCTGCTGTTGAGCTCTCTGTGAGAATAGGCATGGTTGCCTAGAGAGAGTGAGGAGAGAGATAGAGAGAAAAGGAGGAAACTTTGGTTTGGTTTTGGGACAAAGAATAATGGGGTTGTGAATTTTAGTGGAGACAATATAGAAAAATATAGTATAGAATATGATTTTACTTTCATTAGCTGTTTTTTATTTTTATTTGTTGAGATTAAGTATTTCGACTTCTTTTGTAAAAAGTATTTATACTCTAAAATGCTTTCCTTAGAAGTGTTTTTTTTTTTGTCAGAATACTCAAAAGTACTTTGGCTATAAGCATACAAAATATTTATTTAGATAGCGTTTTTATTACGAAGTTTTAACGAAACATTTTTGATACTGTTTATTTTTAACGAAAATAATATTTTTACTCTAAAAAATTATTCTTGCTATTATTCATTTACAACACATTTTTGTCATTTTGACTAAAACTTAAAAGTTTTCAAACTTTTTTCGTTAATTTCCTTTTTTTTACTAACGTGTAATTCTTAAAACAACTCTTGTTTAATTAAACAGCATTTTTACGATCCAAAAGTGCTTAATACTATTTCTGGGAGCTGCCCTTTCGTGGGTTGGTAAGGTAGGGCTATGCTTTTGTCTTGATGTTGGATTTTGGGGGCATATGCCATCAAATACTGCGGACAAAGGTCTGAAAGGAGGCTCTGGAATCTGGGTAAAATTTTCTACTTTTGCTTTCTTTTCTTTTGTGCTTTATAAAGCCAGTTGGTGCTTACTTAATTGGTTTTTGAACTTTAATGTTTTTCTCTGTGTCTCTTTGTGCAGTGGTTTGAGGCTTGGAGACGGACACAGTACCAGTATATAACTATATATACAACAGAAAAATTGTAGTCTTCGTATGTTCGGATCCGTGTGTTACCGTGGTCACCATTTCTAATGGTCCCCCTGGGAAATCACAAGGTCAAAATTCATCATTTTTGTGCAAGGTTTCACATATCTTTCATTTCATTACGTCAATGCATCGGTGTTTCGAATTAATTACACGACAGTGTGTAATAGATTTATAACATTGTCATCTTAGCATTTCTATTTTACGTAAGTTTCTCTTGTTCTCGTGTTAGTTTGAAGTAGGATGTTTCCCCTCCAAATTCCCTCCCCTTCTTCTCTCCTCCCATTCTTTTTTTCTCTCTATAAAGAAAGCAACATTAGATATCAACGTAACTTAATCGTGATCCTTCAAATAAGAAAAGATTGGAGAGGAGGAAAATTTTGAGGGAAAAGATTCCTACTCGCATTAGTTTAGGCCAAATAGTTGCAATCTCAATCATGTGAGAGAGAACCTAACTTTGACTGAAGCCCGAAGTTGAAGGGTTGTTTTCAATTTTCAGCGTCAAACATTGTGACGGTATTCTATTTCAATCACGCAATATCATACATTATAACAACAAGAGAGGACCTAACTTTGACTGAAGCCCGAAGTTGAAGGGATGTTTTCAAATTTCAGCGTCTGTCAATGTGATAGTATTATATTTCAATCACGCAATATCATGCGCAATGTCATATTCACACAGTACCACGATAATTTTTCCGTTGCATGAAAGTTCTTCTGACACTATTTGCATACATCCTCCCTACCCACTCAGCCCCAGTATTTGTTGAATGTCTATGTGCAATAAATGAGAGAATTGACTAAAATGTCTATTCCTGCTATGTATGTATATCACATGATAATTGACCAAAAAGCTCTGTATCACATGATAAACGCAACCACCACATTGCCAAACTCACCCCTGCAGTCTCCTAAATTTTCTGTTTTCTCTTCTCTTCAACTTGTTTTCTTGTTCCATTTTTCGGTTTTACCTTGCTATCTAGTAATTGAGTTTTCTTAGCTCGTGTTCATAGGGGAACTGGGGGGTCTATCGGGGTCTGATTCCTTTTCGATTGCTCTAAGCGGGGGAAAGTAGTAGGTTGCTTTGCCAGCCGTGATCGGAGTCCCGGCTGGCATAATCTTCTACGACATTGACTAAGTTTTCTCTCATTTAAGTGTAATCCTTCTTATTCACTATTTATATTATATGTTTTCATTTCAAAATGTGATTAAAAAATTGTTATGATAAACGTGATGAACCAAGCAATATATGATAAAGTATATGTATTTTTAAGTGACGACTATTTTGCTCAAGATGTTACGATGGCATATGAGTCTCGAAGGGTTGAATGTAAATCCGTTTCCTTAAATTGGCTCTTTCATGAGAAAAATTACAAACATCCAATTTTTCTTAAGAAAAAAACTATCTAATGTAGAAGTAGGACATTCTCAACTCTCAAGTGAGTTTATTGCTCCATTGAAGAATCTGAAGAACACTAAAAGTCAGATTCTTCAATGGGGTTTTTGATGGTTTGGTTGCAGACCCATTTGAGAGCTATGGTTGAAAAGTAGAAGAAAAAGCTTCTTAGCGTTGAATTGGCTGCCACGAATAATGTTAATGCAGAGTCCTTTTTAGCCCATAAAATGGTGCAGGTCGGAAAAGAGACCACATTAATTAGAAGGTTTGAGGAATTGTAACGGAATGATCAAAATGATTTGCGGGTCTCAATTTCAAAGACTAAATTCATGAATTTTCTTCATATACATTTTTTATTAAACAATCTAATTTCAGAGACCAATCATGATAAAAACCCTAAACATTATATAGTTTTGATTTGTTTGTTCATTCCAATGTCCACATGGCTGATGCCTTCTCTAACCTCCAAAGGGGACAATATGGTTTTGATATTAATTTTAATAATCACAATTTAAGGCAATTATTAGAAAAACCCTCTTTTTCCATTTTTTTTTAATTTTAATTTTGAGAATTTCCAAGGCATCTTTAGAAGCCCACCTGGTGACTCCGCTAGTTGAGTGCCATTTGAGAAAAGAAGTTCCTCCATTTGGTTTTATAAAGACATTGTAAACTTTGACAAAATCAAGTTTGATAGAGCAGTGTTTTGTTTATTTAACCTTGAATCATTTTTCACGTAATGATTTCTAATTATTATAAAGACTAAGCACCTTATTTCATGGATGTGAAATTCGAGCCAGAACTAAACTCACCATGTATAACACCACCGGGTGGCTTGCATGAATCCTTCTCCACCACCAACTCAACATCGTCGTATATTTCGCTTTTCTTCTTTTTGGAAAAATCCGTGATGCTTTGGTTTGGACTCGAATTAGAAAGAATGATCATGTTAAATTAAATTATAACATCGCTCGAATAAACAAAGACTCGATAGCTTGCAGCTTATGTTAGAATTTTTTTTTTTTAATATGTTAGGAACACGGATGCATGCTCTATATATCATTATACAAATAGAAAGAAACATAAACTTTTTTCTATTTGTATAATAATATCGTGTATTGACCTGTGCTGCTAACATGTTAAAAAGCAGAAATTCATTACCTAATTGAATGAAAATTGTAGTCGAAGATTCTCATGGGTCCAACTCCAAACAGACAAAATAGTGGCAAAAAAAAAGAGAACGTGGTACGCCATTTATTGAGCTTTTCACCACAATTTACGGGTTAAAAGGTCTTGATTTCATTATCTTGTCTAATGATGGAAAAAAATTATTATTCTGTCTTTATATTTAGTCATGATTATAAATTAATTTGCTTTAGTTTTTAAAAGACGATATTTTATTTACAAAATAAGATTTTAACCCGAATGCAGAGAAAATGATGCTTTGTTGTTCTAGTCAGTTAAACACGCAGCACGAGAAGGAGGTCGAGTTGACTCATACTCGTCGGCAGGATTCTTTAGCATATATGGTGCTTCCACTATATTCTTCAGTAGCTAGTAAGAACTTGGTAGTTTGGGAGTCGATCATGTAGAGTTGAACATAATGTAAATGCATGATTAAGCATTTTTTAATGTCTAAATTTAGTGTAACATCGCACATCGTTCAGGGGAGTGGATTCATAAGCCTTATATGTATATTCTCATCTCTATTTAGCACGAGGCTTTTTGGAAGTTCACTGGCATTGGATTCCGTAGAAACTCCGAAGTTAAGTGATTTCGCGCGAGAGTATTCCCAGGATGGGTGACCCACTGGGAAGTTCTCGTGTGAGTTCCCATAAACAAAACAGTGAAGGTCTGGTCGGGACCCAAAACAGAAAATATCATGTTACGACGAAGTCGAGTCAGGGATCTGGAGGAGCCCGGATCGGAATGTGACATTTAGGATTAGTCTCATTGTTAATATATTAGGATTGGACCACTAGGAATAAGTTTTGTTTTATGCTATAGAAAGAGGGTATTTAACTATGAGGAATGTTAAGGTACTTTCTCAAATATAGAACTTTCGATACATTTTCTGTAATCTCACAGTTTAACGTCAATTTAAATATTAATATTATAAAATATTATTCTAAAAATATAAAACAACATAGAATTCACCAAGAGTTCCTTTTAAAAGAGTTCTGTGAACATTTCCCATTTAACTATTATATTATCCTACTGATGGAAAAAAGCACCGTGCTTTTCTCAGCAGCAACTTAATTTGTATAAGTGTAAAGCACAAGACAAGAGTAGAAGCAAAGACAAGTCAATTGTCAAAAGCTGTAATCAGCTTTTAAGATAAAGCACAAATCAGCTTTTGTGATCTGTCTGTGTGGCCAATGGCCGTGCTCATTTTCAAACCCGCGTTGTTTCAAAATTAGTTTTTGAAAAACCATTTTTCGAGGTCAAAACACTCAGCTACAAGCAACGCGTAAAAAAATTGGTTTATGTACTTAGGGGGTTTTAATTAATAGAAATCAATATGTTAACTATCTAAATCACTTAACTGAATGATTAATTACAAGAATAAAACAAACAGGAAGGACAAAATTACGTTTGAAATTAAGGGTATAGAACTATTAAACTAAAGCCGTTAAGATATAGATTAAGATCTCTATTTTTATTCTTAATTTCTAAAGAATTTCCAAGTATCATGTCACATCATTCATTCATTAAATAAAAATATCATAGATAGAGATATTTTAAAAAGAACATGATGACATTATTAAAGAGGAGATAAGCGTTTCAAACTATTATAATAATTTAATAGAGATAAATTTTGAATCCGAGACACATAACTAAAAACGCAACACTCTAGCAATTAAGATATTTAACCACATGCAATGATGTCAATTGAATTGAAAATAAGATAGCGAATCTGTGTGACTCATGCCCTTAAATTTTGACACGAACACTTTAATCTATCAATTCCCTTAAATTTTGTTTAGTTAGAGACCCGCACTACCATATTCGGCCAAAAAAAAAAAACTTTTTGCGTTTTTATGGACACTTTTTTCCGTTAAGTACACTTATGTTTATTTTTAGCCTCTAAATTTGACTAATTAAAGAATAACTCAGAGCAGAAATACAAAACGTGCCAAAGAAAAAAAAAATGTTCCAAAATCAGTTCCTTGTCAAATAAGAAGAAGAAGAGGGAAAAAAAAAAAAAAAAAAGGAAGCCAATATTATGTCCAACTCTCCCACTCAAAGCCGGTAACTCATTTGGGCCTGATGGTCCAAGTCCGTCGAGAGGCCCACATAACTCTGTTGTCTTCTTCTTCCATTTTATCAGTATCCCTGCTTAGAAATGTCTCTCTAAAACCCAACTCGGCCCTCCACTCGCTGCTTCGACTCGGCCCAGACTCAGCTTCTACTCGACCGAGTCACCGTCGCAAACGAAAGAGGCTTCCAATATTGCAGGAGACGATGATGTCTCAGTAACGAAGGTAATTCAGATTTTCTGAGAACTATAAATTTTGGGTTTTCTGGGAAATTTCTATGTCTGTTTTGCTATTCTCTGATATTTTGGCAAATAACAATCGCAATTTGATTAATTTAAGACTAATTGAACAAAATTAATAAAAATAAATTTAAACCGGGACGTCTCAAATTATTCCTCACTAACAAAACTAATTGAAAAAATAGGAAGATTATCAAAGTAAAATTTACCTATAATTATTCACAATAAAATTATTTCCTCTATAAACACGTAAAATATTTCGTTGCCAAAATCTTAAAAGTAACACTTAACAAGCCAAACAAAGAGACCCAAATGATGATTGTTGCTTGCAGATTGCAGCACTAAATAAATTGTGAGTGCAGAGTCTGATTCCACTAGTCATTTATCGATTCGTAATCTCCATGTTAATTGTTAGTCCAAAACAAGGGCGTGATAAAGATAAACAATTAGGGAACCTGAAAAATAATTTGGCCGTTGTGATGAGTTACAAAATCTAACCAACCTTGGATTAAAATTGCTAAAATAAGTAGATTTCCATACAAAATGACTCATCTACCCTTCTTACACAAAGGGGTTTTTGTATTTATTATTTTTAGATTGCATTTTTCAGTTGGGCAAAAAGGGAAAAAGAATTCAGCAGCAGAAACTCGGAAAATTATGGAAAGAAAGCAAAGCATTTTACAGGGAACCAAACATCCCAACTTTTGATAAACCCTAGAGAGAGAGAGAATCATGAGACGAACTCGCCTGAGCAATCTCTCTCTCTGCACTCGCAATCGCCTTCTCTCTCCTCAAACATTCAACCCAAATCCTACCCCCTCACTCGTCCCACTCGCCCGTTCGACTCGGTCCCTGCTCAGCCGGTTCTTCTCCTCAGACGGCGACTCCTCCGCCGAAGGCCCCAATCCGGCTGCTGATTCGAGCTTGATCCCAACCAAAAAGAAAGATGCCTCCGTCGAAGTCAAGGACGTCAATAACAAAGGTGACCCAACTCTTATTTTTTCAAGTTTTTTGTTACCAAAGATTAAAGTTTTGATCTTGTGGATTTTTGGGGTTCTGGGTCTGTAATTTTTTCATTTGATATGATGAAAGTGTGAATAATTTGATGGAAATTGGATTATTTGAATGTTTTGGCTAATTGGGTTCAGTGTTTAGTGCCAGGGAGGGACATATTTGTTGAATTTAAGTGACATTTGTAACTTGTATTCTTTTGCCTTCTAAATTTATAAAGCTAAGAACGATGGTGATTTGAAATTTTCGTTTTTGGTTTTTATAGAGCTGAAGGAGCGGATAAATAAATATTTTAAGGGTGATGAGGAGGCGCTCCCTGAGATACTTGAAGCGATTCTGCAGAGGAGATTGGCTGGGAAGCACGAGGAAACAGATGATGAGCTGATAGATGAATTGCAAATGCAACCATTGGATGATGTTAAGGACCAAGAGTTTGAATCGGATTTTGAGGAATTGTACGACACGGATGAAGAGATTGATGACTTGTATAACGCAAAGGATATGGTCATGAATAGGATGTCGAAAGATGAGTACTTCAACATGGATGCCAAGAAGTGGGATGATATTGTTGAGGATGCAATTAAGCACGGGATTATGAAGGATACAAAGGAGTGTGAGGCGATTCTCGAGGATATGCTTAGCTGGGATAAGCTCCTGCCAGGTATACACATTTTGTTGCTGGATGTTTGTGTGTTAAGTTTTATGACATTTAGGCATCTGCACGTGTTAAGCTTTATGACAATTCGGCATCTGCCCACAAAGTGTTCAAATTTACCAAAGTGTTTAAATGTCACGGAAGTTGCATTTTTTTATTCAAACTTGCATTTTCTTTGTTTTGTATTGAATAATGTGTAATATAATTTGTCTTCTTCAGATGACATGAAAAGGAAGGTAGAAGAGAAGTTCAATGACTTAGGGGATAAGTGTGAAAGAGGGGAGCTTCAACCTGAAGAAGCTTATGAGTTGTTCAAGGAGTTTGAGGATGAGATTGTCATGGATTACTTGCAGAAGATGGAAGCGGATGGCCCCCCACAATTTGATGAGGCTGATGTGTCTAACAAGAAGGATCTGGCCGACCCACCTGGCGAAGGGCCAATCCTTAGGTGGCAAACACGGGTAGTCTTTGCTCCTGGTGGTGATTCCTGGCATCCCAAGAATAGAAAAGTGAAACTGTCTGTTACAGTGAAAGAACTCGGGCTTTCAAAGCATCAATTCCGTCGGCTCAGAGACTTGGTTGGAAAGCGGTACAATCCAGGGAAAGATGAGCTTACAATTACTAGTGAGAGGTAAGTCAACCAGAAACTGCATCTCTCTTTCTTTATTATCATTTTCATTATTAATTGGGAGTTCTTAGAGTGGTTGATTGTTGTTCAGAACGCAGTGCTTGTATCCTAACACTTCCAAGTTACAAAATGGTATTCTTGATTGTGTATTTTATTACTTGAACTGAACTAGCATTTCCGTAATTTCATGTGAAGGTTTGAACACCGAGAAGAAAATAGAAAGGATTGCCTTAGGACACTTTTTTCCCTTATTGAGGAAGCTGGGAAGGCTAACAAACTGGCTGAGGATGCTCGAGTTTCGTATGTCAAGGAGAGATTAAGAGCAAATCCCGCATTCATGGAGAGGCTGCACAACAAGACCATGAGATTGCAAGGAAAGAGCGCAGTACCTGCTTGAGACTTTGAATTCTAGCAGCACAAATAAGTTTCTTGGTCTGGGATGACATTTTCTCGACATTCAGCACGGATATTTAGTGCACGGATAGATACATTTTGCTAGTTGCTACTGTTGGCAGTCATTTGCTTTACCTTCTAGTCCTTGAAAAGTTCACATGGATGTATAACTTGTTAAGATCAGTGTTGTTTTGAAGTTTATGTGCAATGCTTTTAAACATCTTTCTGGTTCGGCAAGATCTTTCGCTGTTAGCTTAATGTACTACCGTTGAGTTGCTTCATAACTTTGCTTCCACCAGGAAAATAGATTATCTTCAATTTGGAATCCGAGTCTTTCCTATTTCTTCGTCGATGCATAACATCATCCGGCGTTAAAACTGGGAAAAGTTGAAGAAACCCGAACCATCGTAGGGCTGAGAAGGTTTCTGCCTTTCTTTTCCCTCCCCTCCCTGCTGGTCCTGCAACGGCGCGCAGTTCCCCCTTTTGCTTTGCCTTTCGATATTGCAAGGCAGTTGGTTCTTGACGACCCTAGCACCCTGGAAGGCGGCCGGAGCATATTGCAAGTGCTCTACGAAGATGATAAAAAGTGAAAAGCTTGTACAGAAAGTAAAACAGAAAAGAGGAAAAAGGAAGATAAAGAAGTCGACCCCGAACACCAAGTTGATGTAACCTTAGAAAAGGAGTAACAGCAAACATTAAGCTAGGTTGAACGAATCCTTAGATGCCAAACGAAGCAAGATGGACACTGGAAGGCCTTCGAATTCTCGTTCTGTTTCTAGTTACACTTCTTCGCATGGACGAAAGGCGAAATGGAGCGAAAAGCCACCGAGTTTCTCTGCAGTGCCTGCTTGCTGTGCCTTTCTTGCCCTTTAACCGGTGTCTGGTGTTGCATCAAGGTACCTTGCAAGGTTGGATCGCACGTGGCGCAGCACGTAAGGCACTGCGATTCTGGATCAGCTGGGAAGAGAGTGTACACATCTTATTCTTCGTTTTCGGACATTGATTTGGATATTATGCCTGGTAAGGCACATAGTGGTGCTACATGCTGTAATACTCCATGGCAACTCAAAAAGTCCACACTGCAGCATACAAAACGTTAATTTAAGTTTATATCAGTAATTTACACTATCATTTTATTGGGATGTCGAACACATGATGTTTCAAATTAATGAATAAGTTGAAAGGAAATTCAAATTATTTATGAATAAATTGAAATGTAGATTGAAAAAAAAATAAAAAAATATTTTGTCAAGAATGGGATTCGAACCCATGCCCTTTCGGACCAGTACCTGAAACTGGCGCCTTAGACCAACTCGGCCATCTTGACATGGTTAGCGAACATCTACACTTGTCATATTTTACTTTATTCAAATCCCCCAACGATTCCAATACTTATTTTTTAGTTTCTCTTACCCTATTTCTTTTAAGTCATCGAATTAAATAAATCAAATATAAATAACATGATTAATAGGAGGTGCGTAAGAAGTTAAAAAATGTGTTTGTTCACTTTTCTTATTAAAATTCAAGTACTTTTCGAAATAGCATCTGACAAATATTTGTCTAAAAATCACTTCTAAGCCTAGAAAAACGAGAGTAAAAAACACTTTAAAATATTAAAAAGTGTTTTTAACCCTCAGCAATCCCAAACAAACACGCAATACCCAAACCAAAATTAAGTCTTTTCAATCGAACCCTTCAAACTAAAACCAACTTTTGTCTTCAAAGATATGCCTTATAGTTGCAATCTCTCGCGACTTCAATATTTCCCAATCATCAAACCGAATTCCCCATTACAATGTGCATATAATTAATAGTCTACGGCATTCAAGATAATAAGGAAAGACTGATGCAAATAGCAACGAAATTGACCACTTCTGTATTGTTGAATGGGGTTACAAGGTCAATTGATACAAAACTTGACTAAGAAGTTAAATCTAATATATTTTCTCTAAATTAATTTTGGAAGTTGCAAACCTCTCGCACTTTAATGATTAGATATTGTAAAGAGATGGATATTTCATGCACCACATGCTGCGCCGCAGCCGGCAGCGCATCCACCGCCGTAGTACTCTGTATCGGTTGCTGTGGTTTTCTCTTTGGCTACACCACCTGCACACGAAAAAACCACAGTGGAGACGATGCAAAGGCTGAGAAAAGCTGCCCACAACACTAACCAGTTAGCACCACCACCATCAGTTATACTTATCTCTCCCCATACTCTCACCATCTAGTATTTTTTATCTCTTGTGTTTGTGTGTGTTACAAGTTGTTGAATGAAAATGCCCTAGCAAAAACATCCCTCTCTTTATACATAGGCTTCTTGAATTAATAATAATATACTGTTCTAAAGTCAATATTCCAAGTAGAATGATTTGTTCTTAGTGGGAATCTGTGTGTGCGCGTGTTTACTTTTTAACTTTTTGTACGTGATTATCCTAATTGGGGTGTTTGTCGTGGACAAGGATTGTCTGCCCTTCTACTTCTAGTGTCTTTTAGTGCCCTCCTGTTTTGTGTGCTCACGATTAAGCCACGTCAACATTTTATATTGTTTTTTTTATAGAGATAATAAGACAAAAATGAATAGTAATATAAAATGTTAACGTGATTTAATCGTGACCAGACAAACAAGAGGACATGAAAGGGCAGACAATTCTTGTCCGTTTGCTGTAGTAGAATTGGCAGGCAAAAACAGCAGAAATCAGAGTTTGACCCTACAAGTTATGATGGTGGGCTGTTGGAATTGCATTCACATCCCACTCTGGCCTTGTCACGATGTTGATCATATATATGTATGGAAGTTGAATTGTCATCAGAGATGGTGACAGCCAAATCGTTGTTGTCTTTTCTGTTCTGTAAACTTCTACAATACACCGTTATATATATGATACAATGCTTTTATGAACAGGTAGATTGAAGTGTTTTAATCAAACATACAAACCCAACCATCCATTGTAATACTAATGCATATCATACATTCGTACACCAGTGTATGTGATGCCCTATTTTTATGAACGACTAGATTAAAATGTTTGAATCAAAGCATATCATTCACTGTAATAGTAATGCATTAGTACATGTGTTTTCTACATTCTGACCTTCTAAAGTACACCAATGAGTTTTTGATGAACCGCTAGATTAAATATTTTAATCGAAGCTTGCAAATTCCACTAAATATCTAATACAATATTTATTCATCTCATACACTAATGCATAATAGAACCTCCACTTTATTCAATCTGCACTCAGCACTTCCAAAGGGATCATCATCACCAAATGGCCATCATCTTCCAATAATGTACAATAATTTAAGACAAGATAAATATACCTTTTTTGAGATTTTGACTTGGGAAGGCTAAAACTAGTCCAAATCTAATCTCTAGCTAGAGCCTAGAAAGAATGGTATCCCATTAAGGATTTAAACTCAAATGATTTGCCCTTATCTTGAGATCCATCTTAGAGAACCCCACTTAATTACTACATTTACACTGTGGTGTCATATCTAGTCAGCAGTCATGTTTGAGAATGCAAATATGATCCATTAACTTAACAATATTACAATTATTAGTGGAGCAGATATTAGAGAGCTTGAGGAAGCAGCACTGTATATATCCATGTGGCCTTTGCTTCTGCTGCATCGTGCATGCATGTGTCAATAGTGTACAAACTAGGACGGCTCAATCTGACCTTTTTCGTACGAAATTCGATATATATTTACTTGATCGGGAAATGTTTTCCGTTTCAGCCAAGAAAATGGGAGGTGGGAACCATTTCACGAAGGCTAAAGTGATCAACAAATCAAATGGAATCAATGTAGTGATATACTGATACACACACACATATATTATACAGTTATATATATATATAATGTTTTTTATTTACACAAATCTTCACACGGTGAGTGATACATGTGTTCTATGGTGTAAATAGTCCACGGAAAGTTTCATCTGATTTTCTTGTCTTTCACTGGACCTCTAGGAATTTGGTTGAGAAACTGAGAAACAAATTTTCTGTACGATCTCTTTATCTCTCTGCTGATTTTTCCGGCTAAACGATCAACGTCTTCCTCAAATCGCTCGTAGAGGAATGGTAGCGTTTCCAAGCAGATGAACCCTTCATTTGCAAGCAAGCAAAAGAGAGCGCCAATCAGTTAACCCTTCCTTTACATATACGTATACACACACACACACACATATATTATATAGAACAAGATGATAAAACTTCTTACCCAAGTAAAGAAGATTCAGAGAGCTGAAATAGGTTCCGATCACAGACAAAATATAGAGACAGATGATTGTCTGAAAATGTAGAGAGAATGAGTGGTCAACTCTGTTAATTGGTACAAAGTTTATTCATTAATCAAAAGCGGTAATTGATTGCTAATTAGTCGAAAAAAATCGAATATACCAAGAAGAAGAATGGGAAGTCTCTTCCACTTGCACCGTCAAGGACCCTTGATATGAAGTGGTTTAATCTTTTATGGACAGTGGAAGCTACTTGTCTGAATGTGTTTTCATGTAATATCATTTGTGGTATCATAGGCGGGCGACTGCGTAGATTAATTTGTTAATTAATCAATTTAAATAAAACTAAAGCTGATATCATAAGAGTTAGTTAGCGAATGAGATCAAGAACGTTACAATCCGAATATTTCTGCAGCCGTACGCCATATGAAGATTACCAACAATGTGGAAATCGAAATGTGACAGAGGAGTGTCACGAAATTGTACTCAGCAACCTTGAAAAGAAACCAGATTACCGTCATGGCAACCAAAAGCGCAGCTGATACATATCGGTTCCTCCACAACAACACATCCGCAACTGCAAGATTAATGCGATTAATTACTAATCTATGATCTTTCGGGTTCAATTCATCCCCATATGACCAAGGGTAATTAGCAGATCACCAATTAGGGTTTTAGCATGCATGCCAGTTTAAATGAACATTACATACCTTTTCCGCCTCCAAGAACATGATGAATCGGCCTTTCACGTCCGAATAACTTTGCACTACGGATTTCACCATTGTCATCAGAATCGGACGAATACACTAATCCCGACTTTCTATGCATACCTTCTGAGTTGATTAATCTTAATTATTTGTATGAGTGTTGTTAATTGATGATACATGTTCATCATCACCAACTTAAATATGATCGTGATTTATGTGAGGGGTTCTAAGCTTGGTGGCCAAGTAAGCTTGTACAAAGTAAGGAATGGCTTGGGGAATTAGCTCAAATATTTTTCAAGGTTGCTTTGCATGCCCGCTAGATACAATTGGAAAAGAATAGTACTGATCTTGTCTTGGATGACTAGTTCTCCTAATCGATGCCTCCAGCAAACGTTTTCATCAAACTTTTACAAAGTGTTATTCTAAACTAACTTAATTTGCTGTAAGGAAGAATTGTACTTAATAAAATAGACGAACATACTGCTCTGACCAATTAACTCGACACACTTTTATATTAATCAAGTTGGCTCAACAATAATTAGAAACTGAAAATGTAGTTTCTAGTGTTTTTATTTTTCATTTTTTTGCGAGAGAGAGCACTATTGGCAAAGCAGGAAATGCCAAAGCTCTACAACTTTGTCGATCAGCCCCATAAATTTATCATCCATTCATATTTTGTTCTTTTGGCAACTTTACCCTACTCATGAATCGATAATATATTATATATTTTACCCTAATATTAGTATTAATTTATTAGTTATTTTGTGAGAATTTTGATAACTTTGACTTATATTTCTAATGTAGGGCATTCGACTTCTTTTTTAGCAAAAAGTGATGAAATGGATGAATTTTGAAGTGATTACAATGGGAGGATGTTCGTGTGTCTTTCAACTTGAAGTGATTACAATTTGAGTATGTTCGTGTGTCATTCGACTTCTTTGCAATGCTGTCAAACTGACGTTTTGGACTTATTTGGGCTTTTTGGCATCCAAAATGATATCTTTTGGGTCTGAGGCCTTATGCAATTATGTTCGGGACATCTCAAGCTTTAATTCTAGCCGTTTTGGCCAAGTTTTGGAGCCCTGATTGAGAAATGTGGTTGATTTGTGGTTGGGCAGGTTTCCCATATTTGATCAAGATTATGTTTCCTAGTTTCAAAGTTATTATGTTTCCTAGTTTTTAGAAGACCTTTTATAGTAAGGATTTTATTTTGTACTAGTATAAATAAGGATTTTTAGCCATTAGGGTTTTTAGAAAGGGAGAGAGAAGAGAACGCACATACTATTTTTGGAGAATTTCAGACTTTTTACCTACAAGGTGTTTTATATCCATGTTCTTAATAATATTTTGTTTTATAATTGTGCGTAACTAATTCCGTTTGCTAGGACAATGTCACGAGCCTGAGTAAGAATATGTAGTTTCTTTTCAATTTACTTATGATATTATGCATGCAAGTTTTGAGTTATTAATCATCGTGTTTGAAACCATCTAATTGTCTTGATGATTGGCCACCATTAGGATATTTAGAAAAGTAATTTGATGCAATTTTGACGGAGGACTGTCCCTGGAATTGACTAAGGCTTCTTGTGATTAATACGTGTAACTTCTTAAGATGGACGACACACCTTAAGGGTTATATGGTTTTTCAAAAGGTTTTTACAAAACTTAATGAATCTTGCATGTTCACATTCAATATGGACACTATAGACGGGTTGCATGTTAGATATATGTTCTATGTTGGAGGTTCCAAGTGGGGCATACTTTAGGAAAACCTAACCTTCAAAATATGCATGGGTAATTCATAAGTAATTGGAAGAATTACATAGGATTTTTAGGGTGATGGCGGAATCTTAGTGCTTAAATAGATTTTCAAGCTATTTTCTTTTGTTTTCTTTACTTTCCCAATTTAATTAATTATTTTTAATTAAATTCGTTTTTAATATTTTAGGTCATAAAATCACCATTTTCTAAACTCTGTTTTCAAATAATTAATTAAGATTTGGGTTTAACATAAATTATTCATTCAATTCCTGTGAAAAACGACCTTGCTTAAGTTGTTATACTACGATAACTTTGTACTCTTACAAATATTTTTATCCCTACTTTTGCAGGTGGTAAAAAACTCCATCAAGAAATTAGCATCGTTGCCGGGATGTCAACTTCATACTCAGAGACCAATTAATTGATTAGTTTTTTTTATTAAAAAGAAATTATTAGTTAATAAATTTAATTAACACTTCTAAGAATTTTTTATTTATTTTTAATAACACTTCTAATCCACAACCACAAAGTACCTTTGGGCACATCGAAGGGACACACTTAGGAGAGGAATATTGGAGCGAACAGGGTATTATGTCGATTTAGTACTGGATCATTACTTAGGTGAAAACTAAGCTGCTAAACAATTTTTTTTTTTTTTTTTGAAAATAAGTTGTTAAACTCATTAACAACCTTTTTTTTTTTTGTTTTTTTAGAAAAAGCATTGTATAGAGTTAATTTTGAAAAGACAATTAGATTTGCTATATGTGTGCAATATTAAGAGCTTATAAGAGAAAAAAAAAAATGATACTATTAACTTAATTAACGAGAAATTGAATATAATAAATTCGAATCTTATATTGGAAACGAAATTGATAATTTTTAATAAGTTTAAAGAATTATTTGGAGTTGTTTTTTCGAACAAATTTTCAAAGATTGAAACACTACTTGCAACCCGTTTTTGTAATGCCAGAATCATTTAGATTTTGATACCTATAATTTTAAATAAACCCTGCTCTGGCTCTGAAATTGAGCAGCTCTCCCCACCCTAAATTTTTTGTTAAAGAAAATAAACCCTGCGTTTTAACAATTAGATTTTGATATTTATAATTTTAAATAAAAATTTTAAAACAAAATAAAACACTATATCTCATATTTCAAAAAATTTATACGACACGAGTTTACTGGGGAATAAAAAACCAGGGAAACACACATGCATCCACCACTTTCGTCAGCACATAAAGACTTAAGGACAATGATTGGCTTAAATGATTAATAATCGGACATAAAAAATTTAGTAAAACATCGAAATTTGAATTAAAAAATTTGCCACCAGTCGTACTCTGCTCTGCTAAAGTTCTATGCAACCAAGAACAACATGTGCAGATATGCAGATCCTCCTCACAAACCAATCAGAGTTCTGCAGAAGTCAGAACCGCGAAAATCCGTAGCTAAAGAGCAAACACCACGAATCCCAATCAAATGGGCTCTCCACTCACCGTTCAGCTCTCTGCTCCTCTGCTCTGCTCCTCATTCCGCTCGAAACCCCAGAAAACCAAAACCCTTTTCAAAATTCACCCCAAAAATGGCTCTGGCCACCCCTACCACTTTTGGGTTCAGCAGTCTGCTCGAGACGTTCACGTTGAACGTGCAGAGAGCAGAGAATCGGCCGCTTAACGTGCCGCTGACTGCGCCGTTCACGATTGCGACTTCGCGGCTGGAGAGGGTGGAGAATGTGGCGGTCCGGGTTGAGTTGAGTAACGGGTGCGTGGGGTGGGGTGAAACTCCGATTTTTCCCTTTGTAACTGCAGAGGATCAGCATACTGCCATGGTCAAGGCTAAGGAAGCTTGCGAGTTCTTGCTTCGAAGTCCGGCGATGACGTTGGGTTCGGTTTTGGGGGAGATTGGTGGAATTCTTCCTGGACATGAGTTTGCTTCTGTGAGTATATGAGTGGAAAGATTACTTTTTACACTTACATGATTGGGTTTTTACTTTTTACTGTGATATGGGATAACTTTTTAGTTAAATTTAGCTGGAATTGGATAACTTTGTAGGACTCTGAGTGGAAAAGTTTTATCTTTTGTTTGTTTGCTGAGAAAGTGTAGGAAAAAAGGATAGAGGAAGTGGGAGTAGTTGTTAGAGTGAATGATTTTCCCGGGAAAGTTCAGACTTAGCTGAGTTGAGTGTGACTATTGTGAGCAAGTTTTTCCTTTGCTTTAAGAACTACCTTCTTATTGGCTTTGTACAGAATTTGTTTTGCTTAAGTCAGCATTTTGATTGGCTTTTCGATCGAACACGCGAATCTTATGCAGTTTTTGTTCAAAACCAGCAGAATTTGTTTAGCAGTATGATGTCCTTGTAGGGAAAGTTTACACTTTTTTGTATGTTTATTTGTTAGTTTTGGTGTTTGACAATTGAACAACTTTGCTTTTAATTTAGTAGGTATTGGGATGTAAAAGTCTTATCTTTTTGTTTGTTTACTGAGAAAATGTAGGAAAAAAGAGAAGTGGAAGCGAGTAGTTGTTAGATTAAATGGTTTATTTGTTGGTTTTGGTGTTTGAGTATTGTATTTTGATTGGGTTTGGTTGTTTGGTGATTTGAACAATTTTTGTGTTGAATGTAGTTGGAATTTGGGTATAAAGATCTTATCCTTTGTTTGTTTGCTGAGAAAATGTAGGGGAAAATAATGGAGGAAATAGGAGTAGTTGTTAGAGTGATGTTCCAGGAAAGTTTACATTTTGCACCCCAACTGTGTAACGTTTAGGCTTTAGCTGAGTTGGGGTGGGACTAGTGTACAAAACTTGGTTTGCTCAAGTCAGCGTTTTGATTGGCCTTTTTATCCTGATCACGCGAACCATATGCAATTATTGATGAAAATCAGCAGCACTTGTTTAGCAATTTGATGTCTTTATGTAATAGCATTATTAAGGGTTTCCGAAATCTTATTTCGCTGAATTGCAATTGAAGGTTAGGGCAGGAGTTGAGATGGCGTTAATTGATGCAGTTTCTATGAGTATCGGTGTCCCTTTGTGGAGACTGTTTGGTGGAGCTTCAAACACCATAACTACTGATATAACAGTTAAGCTCTTGTTCAAGTAACTCTGGCAGTTAAAATTTTGCTTTATTCAGTGAAAAGTAGACCGAACTTTATATGCGCAGATTCCGATTGTTTCTGCAGCAGAAGCTGCTACATTGGCTTCAAAGTACCGTGAAGAAGGATTTAAAACTTTAAAGCTTAAGGTGGGAAAGAATTTGAATTCAGACATAGAAGTCCTTCAAGCTATACGTGTTGTTCACCCCGATTGCTATTTTATCTTGGATGCTAACGAAGGATATGACTCCAACGAAGCTATCCAAGTTCTTGATAAATTACATGGTAAATGATGCGGAGAGAAGGCAAAGTTACCATTTTTAGCCTGTGTGTCTGCAAACAGCATATTGATTTCCCTTAGAAAAGAAAACAAAAAACTCATGGTGAAAACCTACAAATGAGTTTCTGAAATATTTTCTTGTTTTTTTTTTTTAACTTTCAGAGGTGGGCGTGAGTCCTCTTCTCTTCGAACAACCGGTCCATAGAGATGATTGGAAAGGCCTCAGAAATGTTTACCGCGTTGCGAAAGACAAATATGGAGTATCAGTTGCAGCTGATGAGAGCTGTCGAAGTTTAGCTGATGTTAAGAAAATAGTGGAAGAAAATCTTGCCGATGTAATTAACATTAAACTTGCTAAAGTTGGGTTTCTTCGAGCCCTTGAAATCATCGAGTTAGCAAGGGCAGCGGGATTGAATTTGATGATTGGTGGTATGGTTGAGACTAGACTGGCCATGGGTTTTGCTGGCCATCTTGCTGCTGGCATGGGGTGCTTTAAGTAAGTATCATTATCCTTTCCATAAAAGATAAATCGTTTGCATTTCCTGCTGGTTTTGTTGGTTTCCCAAAATTCTTTCGCTTTCTATTTCCAAATCCTTCAGTAAGTGTTTGTATTCTGTACAGGTTTGTTGACCTAGACACGCCCTTGCTGTTATCGGAAGATCCGGTTCTGGAGGGTTACGAAGGTATTGTCATTTCTCTGTAACTTTCAAGACATTTTGCCATCCGTAATTTATGCTTATCATCGAGCAATTGGTTATGTTTTTCCGTTTTGTGGCTAGTTTCGGGTGCAGTTTATAAGTTCAGAAATGCTAGAGGCCATGGTGGATTTCTGCACTGGGACAATATTGCTTGGTAAGTCGCAAAATCTTTGCAATCTGATTCTGTTTCCAACTCTCAGTCGGAGAAATGTTATTGCAAATGCAACTAACGAGGAGTTCATTGTTATCGATTGTCACTCTAACCATGTCGATCTATCTGCACAGACGAAGCTTGCAACTCAACAATTTGAACTCCGAGCAGCATCTGATGGCGGAGAAAAAGCTCCCCGGAATGGAGCTTCATCAAATACTGTCGTATTTTTTCAGATGAAACATTTGAATTCATAGACCACAACAGCATTCGGCATTGCAAATTTCCACGCATTGTAAATAATTGCTTAGCTGATTGATCTGTGTAAGTAGGCAATGTGGATCCATTTTTGAGTCTATTTGCCGCACACCCCCCCCCCCCCCCCCCCGCCTGTAGAAGTTCTGTGTTCTTGCAAACGAGAGAGAGAGAAGAAAGGAGAGAGAAGAGAGAGAAAGAAAGGTTTCTTAAGTATTAAGATATCTGTGTATTCTCATTAATTACAAAATAATAATACAATCACATATATATAGTCTTTAGACTATTTACATTTAGCTATTCTAAGCTACCACATAAGATAAACTAATTGCATGAATGACACCTTATACCAAACTAATAACTAACAACTTTAGTTATGATATAGCATCTTCATCTTTACACCCCCTCAAACTAAACTTGGAAGAATTAAGAATTCCAAGAGAAAGCTTGGACTGCAAAAACTGAAACCGGTTTTTAGACAAGGCTTTGGTGTGGATATCTGCAATTTGATCCTGACTGCACACATACTTGACTTCAACCAGATTTGCAAGGACTAACTCACGAATATAATGATAATCAATCTCTATATGCTTAGTGCGAGCATGAAATACAGGATTGGAAGCAAGAGATAAAGCAGAGATATTATCACACCAGAGAGTAGGTTTGTGAGAGAGAGGAAAGCCAAAGTCTTTGAGCACCTTGCAAATCCAAGTAACTTCTGCAGCAGTGTGAGCCAAGGAACGGTACTCAGCTTCAGTAGATGATCTTGCTACGGTTGATTGTTTCTTGGCACTCCAGCTAATTAAGTTGGTGCCCAGAAAAACACAGGAACCACTGGTGGATCTTCTGTCATAAGAACAACCAGCCCAATCGGCATCAGAATAAGCTGACAGATGCAAATCACTTTTCTTAAACAAAAGACCATGAGTGAGAGTTCCTTTGAGAAATCTCAATATACGTTTGGCTGCTTGCATGTGAAGAACAGTAGGTGTATGCATAAACTGACAGATTTGGTTGACTGCAAAAGAAATATCAGGCCGTGTCCAAGTTAAGTATTGAAGAGCACCAACAAGGGATCTGTATTCAGTGGGATCAGCAAGTAAGTCCCCACTATGATCTAATTTGGTAGAGCTGAGTGGAGTGGAACAAGGCTTTGCACCAGTCATATGTGTTTTCTGCAGCAGATCAAGCAGATACTTGTTTTGGTGAAGAATCATACCAGCTTTTGTGTGATGAACTTCTAGACCCAGAAAGTAATGCAAGGGACCTAGATCTTTAACAGGAAACAAAGTGCTCAATTGAGCTATGAACTGATTGCAGATGTGAGCATCAGAACCACTGACCAGAATATCATCAACATAGACAAGTACTATAACCAGAGTTGGAGCATGAAGAACAAATAAGGATGCATCAGAGGATGACTGACTAAAGCCCATAGATTGAAGAGCTTGAAATAATTTGTCAAACCAAGCTCTAGGAGCCTGTTTAAGGCCGTAGAGAGATTTTCTGAGCTTGCACACATGAGTAGGCTTGCTGGGATCTTGAAACCCAGGGGGTTGAACCATGAACACATCTTCTTTTAAGTCACCGTGTAGAAAAGCATTGCTTATGTCCAGTTGTTTGAGAGACCAATTAAATTGGACAGCAAAGGATAACAACAGTCTGATAGTAACTGGCTTTGCAACTGGACTGAAGGTTTCTGTATAGTCAAGACCTTCCTTTTGGTGAAATCCCTTAGCAACAAGTCGTGCTTTGTATCGCTCAATGGATCCATCAGGATTCTTTTTGATGCGAAAGACCCACTTGCATCCAACTATATTTTGAGAGGGTGAAGAAGGAACAAGTGTCCAAGTGCCAGTGGATAAAAGAGCATTGAATTCATGTTGCATGGCCATTCTCCAATTTTCAAACTTAGAGGCTTGAAGGTAAGTATGAGGAATGTAATCTGTGGATGAAGGAAGAGGATGTTTGGTAGCTGTGAATACTCGAGGTGTATGAATACCATTTTTGGATCTAGTAACCATGGGAGGCAGATTAGAGACAAATGAAGGTTGAGGGATAGGTTGGGGGACAGATTGAAGTACAGGTTGAGGGACAGGTTGATGTACAGGGTGATTTGTAGGCACAGATGGAGAAGGAGAGACAGGTTGAGAAGGAATATTAGATGGGGAAGAAGATGGTAGTGAGGGTGAAAAAGACACAGGTGCAGGGGGTATAGATATGGGCATGGAAAAGTGAAGATCAATTGATGAAGGTACAGAAGGAGACTGATCAACAGAGGATTTGACAGAAATGACATCTTTAAATGGAAGGGTGGCCTCATCAAATGTAACATGCCTAGAGACATAAATCCGATTATGTTCCAAATCCAAACACCGATAACCTTTGTGTTGCAAACTGTAACCCAAGAAGATACATCTTTTACGTTTCCCATCAAGTTTAGAAGAAATGTAGGGCTTTAACCATGGATAACAACTACACCCAAAGACCTTAAGTTTGGAGTAATCTGGATATTTGTTAAACAGCAATTCCCACGGTGATTTAGTATTTCCTGATATAGGCAGTCTATTGATAAGATAAACAGCAGTGGTAAAGGCTTCAACCCAATAGAGATGAGGAACACTAGATTCAACTAATAAGGTCCGAGCAGTCTCCACAAGATGTCTATGTTTCCTCTCCACACAACCATTTTGTTCTGGTGTGTGTGGACAACTAAGTTGTTGAACAATACCGTGAGTATGAAGAAAAGCTTTAAATTGCAAACTGGTAAATTCACCCCCAGAATCTGAACGAAGTATCTTTATTTTATTACCAACAATATTCTCAACATAAGTTTTGAAGAGTACAAAAGTAGAGTACACCTCTGATTTATTCTTTAAAGGAAAACACCAACTGTACTTGCTAAAGTCATCAACAATAAGAAAGTAATACCGAAAACCACTCACTGAAGTGACAGAAGCAGGTCCCCACAGATCACAATGTAATAGCTCAAGAGACTGAGAAGTGGATGTAGTTGATGAGCTAAATGGTAGTTTATGATTTTTCGCAATAGCACACTTGGAGCAAAAGAAGTCAACAGAGGATGTACCTTTAATAGCAAGCTTATTACTGGAGATTACTTTTCGAAAGATAGAGGAGGAAGGATGTCCCAGTCGACTGTGCCACAGTTTGACTGAACCTTGAGCACTGACAAAAGCATAAGTGCATCCAGAAGAAGAAGGAATGGAAGGACAGTTTCACAGAGGATAAAAGCCATCTTTAACGGGGCCCTGCAAAAGCGTCCTCCCCGTAGTACGATCCTTTAGAACAGATCCATCAGAATCAAGTGTTAAGGCACAATAGTTATCTTTGAGAAATTGGTATGTAGATAACAGATTGTGTTTCATTTGAGGAACATGAAGTACATTACTCAAATGAAATTTAGCATTAGGAGAATGCAAAGAAGAAGAGCCAATATGATGGATAGAGAGACCGTTACCATCACCGACATAAACTTTGTCCTCGCCAGTGTACGGTGTTGGTGAAGATATGTTGGCAATATCATTAGTGATATGAGATGTGGCACCAGAGTCCAATAGCCAAGAGGGAGAAGATTTAGAGTTGTAGTGGGCACACATGGCTACAAGTTTTGCAGGAGGAATCTTCCCATAAATGTCAGGATTCATGCGATCGAAGCAATCGATAGCTGCATGGCTATTAGAGCCACAGATTTGGCAAGAAGCATGAGAGCTGTTGAAAGAAGAATTACGAACACCTTGTGGATGACCACGATTGGAAGATGAACCTCGATAATTGCCTCTATATCCACGATTGTTGTTGTACCGACCAGAATTGGGATAGTGATTACCGCGATAGTTATTTCGACCACGATTCGAGTTGAATCGAAGAGATTGTTGAGATTGAGCAGCATATGCTTGAGGCGGTGGAGTTGGAAGAAGAGGCGGTTGAGACTGAGCAGAGAACACTTGAAAGGACTTAGTAGAGGAAGAAGAGAGCTTCTTGCGACGAGACATGGAAAGCTCCTTGGTAAGAAGAAGGCCGTGTAACTCATCCAAAGACGTGGAAGAGAGGCGTAACATTACGGAATCAATAAATGATTCGAATTCATCAGGTAATCCAGCAAGAGTGGCCGCAATGAGATCTCGATCAGAAATAGGTGCACCAGCAGCAGAGAGAGAATCAGAGATTTCTTTGAGTTGTTGAAGATAATCCGCCATGGATTGAGCACCTTTTTGAATTGCTTGAAGACGAGACCGGAGTTGATGGATGTAAGCATCAGAGACACCGCCAAAACGTTGTTCCAGCTTGATCCAAAGATCACGAACAGAAGAGACACCAACAGTAAACGGAATAACATTTTCCGATAGTGTAGAATTCAACCAAATCAACAGGTTCTGATCTTTTTCATACCAGATCTCAAATTCTGGATTAATTGTTTGATCTTGAAGAAATGACGGTGGACATGGCTCAGTACCTTCAACAAGACCTAGAAGTTTGTAGCGTCGGAGAATCGGTGCAAACAAAGCACACCATGGAAGATAGTTAGATCTCTTGAGCTTGATCAGCACCATGCTGCCAATATTCTGAATTGTGAGAGAAGCATACGAATTTGACAAATTAGGGTTTGTCGAAGGATTTGGGGCAGAATTCTGAAGAGATCCAAGAGATGCAGAATCTGACGGAGACGCCATGGTAATCAGAAACATAAATTACAAGAAATGAACAGCAAAGATCAGAGAAACAAAGCGGAAGAATGGATCGAAATGACCGTGAGGCAAGCGGCGAAGGATACCATGTAGAAGTTCTGTGTTCTTGCAAACGAGAGAGAGAGAAGAAAGGAGAGAGAAGAGAGAGAAAGAAAGGTTTCTTAAGTATTAAGATATCTGTGTATTCTCATTAATTACAAAATAATGATACAATCACATATATATAGTCTTTAGACTATTTACATTTAGCTATTCTAAGCTACCACATAAGATAAACTAATTGCATGAATGACACCTTATACCAAACTAATAACTAACAACTTTAGTTATGATATAGCATCTTCATCTTTACCGCTAACCCCCCCTCTCCTATTTTTTAGAACTTTCATTCGTCAGT